GATGTTTCAAGAAAAAGAAGAAGAAAACCCTCCGCCACCTTTACCCATCCCTTCCTTAGATGATAAGAGGAGCTGGACCAAACCGTCGTCATGGCCCGAAACAAAATCGACCCGGCAACGGAATGAAATTGAAGTCATCACAATTGAAGATGAGGAGGAAGAAAAAAAAATTACCTCTTAAAAAACGGTCGACTTACCGGAACCTACCTGGCGTGCAAGATCCGCTTCAGAATCCAGAAGCTTCTTCTTCTTCTTCTTCTTCCCCGACTTGTTCAAACAGGCAACCTCTTTCGGACTCCTCACAGACAGAACCTCTTCCAGTATCCTCTTCTTCTTCTTCTTCTTCTCCAACCTGTCCCGACATCGTAGAGGTAGAATGTCAGACGGGTCCACAAGCTTCAAAAAGTCCCGACAAGTTCCAACAGGTCCAGAAATCATGGAGGCAGAATCACAGCCGGGTTCACAAGTTCCAACGGGTCCAGAAATCATAGGAGGTAGAATTTCAGCCGGGTAAACAAGTTCCAACGGGTCCAGAAATCATGGAGGTAGAATCGCAGCCGGGTCCAGACATCCTAGATCCCTCCACTCATCCCAAAGAGACTCCAAGTGTTTCAAGACAGCCTTGTGAGGATCCAGCCCTTCCCGTATGGAATGATTATATGGACTTACAAAATTTGGTGCAACAGGAAGGAGAAGAAAATAATCATACGGATGGGTGGGTCAAAGACTGTTTAGATCATTTAACCTCGAATGAAATTGAACTGTTATGGAATTGCATTTCTGAAATCACATCGGAAATGGGATAAAAACCAAAACAAAAAAAAAACAATTTTTTTAATAACAAATGGGAGGAGGGTCATGATGTCAATTAAAAAAAATATTATATAGAGTCCAATCTTGGTGGTTCACTTCAGTTTTCCAGCATGAGGTGATCCACGTTTCCCGAAATATGGATCCCATTCCAAGAGAGATTGTGTAGAGCCTTCACTTCAGTTCTTTTTTTTTCTACCAAGAGGAGAGGGTCCCCAAAGGGTTACCCATGTCCAAAGAGAGAAAGTGTAGAGCATTCATTTCAGTTTTTTTTTTCAAGTTTAGGGGAGGGAGGTCTCAAAATGACACCCCCCATTTTCAAAGAGAGATAGTGTAGAGCGTTCATTTCTGTTTTTTTCCAAAGTTAGGGAGTTTTCAAATGGCTACCCATTTCAGAGAAAGAGAGAGAGAGAAGGTGTAGAGCGTTCATTTCAGTTTTCCAACATTAGAAGGTCCCAAAATACCTTCTGAATTCAAAGAGAGATCGTGTAGAGCGTTCATTTCCAGTTCTCCAAGATCAGAAGAAGAGGGTCCGCTTTTCCCAAAAGGGCTTTCCGCATTCAGAGACAGCGAAATGCAGACTTCAGTTTTCTCCCTCCCCAAGAATAGAGGGTCCCAAAATGGCTTCCCATTTCAAAGAGAGAGGGAGAGGCGTTCATTTCCATTCTCCAAGATAGGGTCGTCTGCTTTTTTCCCAAAATGGCTTCCCAATTCAAAGAGAGAGAGAGAGAGAGAGAGTAAAAGGGTGTGTAGAGCGGTCATGTTCATTCTCCAAGATAGGGTCGTCAGCTTTTTCTCAAAATGGCATCTCCCCATTCAAAAAGAGATCGTAACCAATTTTTTCCAGTTTTTTCCAAGATGGGGGGGAGAAGAAAACCTAGGATGGAGTAACACGACACACAGAGAGAAAGAGAAAAAAACGCCATCTTGTCATTTTCTGATAGGGTACCGGTGTTCGAATACATTTGTGACCGACTGTAGCAGTTAATAAGTTCAAACAAAGGCGTAGCTAGAGTTTCTAGCGTCCGGGGACAACCGAAGAATTGGCGCTCCTTCCGTGTGCCAGAAATGGAAATATTTCATTAAAAAATTTCGTAGCATCAATTTGGCGCCCCTTGGATGCTGCGCCCGGGATAGATGTCCCCCTTGCCCCACCCTAGCTACGCCACTGAGTTCAAATCAGCAATACTAACTCAAAAAGGAATTTCTGCTTTAATCTCATAATTTAATATTTTTAAGTTGCCATTCTTAATGTTGCACTACATTTTTCTAATATTCATGCGAAAAAAAAATTTTATTTCCAGATTATCTGCACACAAGTTACTACTTACCACCTCATTTTTTCTTCAGACAAGTAATTTGTCTTTAAAAGTAAATATTATAAAAATGCACCAAGCTTTAAATATAATATGCTGTGTATCTTGCAAGTTTCAAAGAAATTAATATATTACAGGTTTGTTTAGCAAATAATTCAACACTGCAATTTAAAATTATTCCTTAAATTCATAAAACCAATAATATTAGTTGCATATATATTATTGTATAGCAGATGTATTATATTAGTTGTATATCAGAACTTGAAAATGAATTTTCACAAATGAAAAATAACAATTTTTTTATTTACAGATTTAAGCAAACAGTCAGAATAACAAAGTAACACTGAAGTTATAGCATACCAGTAACATCTTTTTAAACACCTCTACAAAGTTTTTAAAGCAATAAATCTCTGGCAATTTCAAATGAATTTATAATCATAAGATACAATTAAAATGATCAGGATAGCACATTTTACCACAATTTAAAACTATTAATTAATTACTCAATTCACAATATAAAAGCAGCAGCTATTCAAATTATTGAGGAACTATGATCTCTGAACTAAGATTACATGAATAATCTTATAATAAGCTAGCTGAATTAATGCAAAATATCAAAATATGTTTGCATATGTGAAAAAAATGAGTCGAGTTGACTCAATTTATTTTTAATATATGTAGTAGCCATCTTTGCTTTGCAGACTTCTTGTCTATTTATTTCTACTTGTTAAAGTTCACTTCGAAGGTTCAAAAAGATCTTTTGGATCATTTTCACGAACATGTCACTCGCAGCACATCGTTATTTCAATCCAATGGAATTACGAAATTATAACATCACGAGAAACAATTAATATAAAAATTCAAAAGACTTCGCCACACGTTCATCGCTCGCCAGTACTATGGGGCTTTGAGCTTGTTGGAAGGAGCGAAGTTCGTCAGACGACTGCCTGTGACGTCAGAGCTTCCTCTCGCTTATAAGAAACGTGGCTTAGTCCATGTCCTGTTTCAGTGTCTGGCTCCTTCTGTAAGGAGGTGTTGGTCAGACTCGCTATCCCGTTTGCTGTCGAGTGGAAAGAGAATCCCGACTGGTTTTCCGATATCGATCTCGACAGGTGTCCAGACTAGATCTCTGTGTATGGATTTATGAATTTGTCAATTATTGTTTTTCTGAAATATACATGAATTTTTTGGGAACGGTAATAGTTAATGTTACTTTAGTTAAAATATTATGTACATCTCTGTGATTATATATGTCTTTTCTTCTTAGGTCTCAAGATAAGGGCATACACATTACCATGTAGGAATTCATTTATATACTAATTTTTGCAAACGAACTCCTCTTAACTACACTCATGGACACAATCGTATTTTAGGCTATTTTGTACTTCTTTTCCTTTTCTTTTTATAGGCCCTTTTTTCCCCCCCTCTATTATTTTTGGGCCATTTATTTAAAATTTTATTTTGTCCCATCTTTTCTTTCTGGCCTTTTGAACTCGTACAAAATGTACGAAGTTCCTTTTTACTCTCCTCAAATACGAAATTGCCCCCCCTTTCTATATACCTTTCCTTAGCACCTATGCTTGATTTTTCGCCAATCGGTGCAGAAAGACTTAGCGATTGCAAAACAAGACATCTGTCTACTTTGTCTGTCTGTCTGTCTGTCTGTCTTAGCCGCCCGTTCTACGTTGTGTGTCTTTTTAACTTAGAGAAAGAAAAATAATTCAATATTGAACACATATTTTGAGTATAACAAAAGTATTTTAAGAAACAACCTGTTAAAAATACATTAGTCATTAAAAATATTTAATTTGTGTACAGGCTGAATTAAAACTAACATGTGGTGGTGTATTTAATTATGGCAAAGCACACTAGGGCTATCTGCGTAATAGGTGTGATGCCTTCGTGGAGGACTTTCTCAGGGAAACTGGCTCGTATACACACTAAGGTGTAGGGCAAATTTATTATTGTGCATATATGTGTAAGAAAATGTATTTTAATTGTTCCATTTTTATTGTATGGAAGGAAGAATAGGATGCCAATATCGAAGATTATTTACCATAGCAAATAATCACGGTCAGGGTAAATGTTATATAGAAATCTTGGGAGTGTAAGGGATTATAAGAGTACTTTTAGATTATACTGAAAATATATGCACTTCTGCTAAAATCTGAAGTGAATCAGTATGAAGTGACTTTAAAAATAATGTGATAAGTATACTATTTAAAAGTATAAATGACGAATATTAAGAAATTTGTAGAATTTTATGGTATTTAAATATGAATTTGTTATGTCAAATCATTTTATATATATTTTTGCTTGAGATATGTAAATTAAACTGAAAATCACGATCATATATTTCTCATGGAATGTCAAAGTTCATTTGTATTAAAAAAAATGCATGAGCAATGAAATTAAATAGAATAATACTTTTTGATTATGTTTTTACCATGGTCTTAGGAATTATGCCATCATGTGTTCTGTTCAACAAATTTCTTTAGTGCAAACAATACTACGAAAATATTGAAAAATAGCTTGTTTTACAATATTTATTTCCCTCAATTAACTTAAATATCGTTTTTCATTTCCTAATGCTTTCCTTTATGATAAGAATTTAATGTTTACAATTATTTTCAGCATTCGTACGAATTCTGTGCATAAATAAACATTGCTTTAAAAACAAAATACTTTATCGGAAAGTATATACCCGGTATTTCCGGTGTATCTACCACATTTAAAATGATTATTTTGCTTTAGTTTACATTACTTCCATTACGAAAATCATGTAGCAGACGCGTCGGCCGATGCGTCTTGTCTCCCGGGTGACGTCACTACCAGCAACCAATGGCACGCTTTTTCCGTTCCTGGCCTAACCTTAGTATATTAAAGAACCTTGATATGATACTACCCAGGAGGTACTTACTACCTTGCAGATAATAACTAAAAGAAAACTGAACCGAGAAATATGGCTGATCTATCTACGATTGATATTCTTGATGAAAGAATAGCGAAACTGGAAAGAAATGTGTATGGGAATTCTTCACCAGATCCAGAGTGCAAAGTAAAAATACAGTTCTGTGATACGTGAAGTTGTATTGCTTTGCTCAGTTAACGCACAAACTGTTTCGGTTTAATTTTTTAAAGTTGTCCTAATTTTTCGTAGTTGTATTTAATTTATTTTAAGTCGATAGTATGAAACAATAAAACATTAAAAATATTCACATTCACATGTGGCCATCATTTGCTATGATAAATTAAATAGGATTGGATTTCATAAATCTGGGAATTATTTCCTTTACGCATATATAGTTTTACAGATTTGATGAGTTTTCTTGAAGCTTTTGTAATAGAATCGTGGATGTAGTTTCACTGTAAATGAAATAAAATTCCTTCATTTTTTTTTTTTTTTTTTTTTTTTTGGTACTTTATTTTTTATCTAATCTTTGCATGCTTAAAAGGAAGGGCCCTGATGATCAATATTATATGCAATTATAAAAAAGTATTTAGATTATTAAGATATTTATCACCTGGAATAGTGCTATATTAAAAATATTTTCATGGAATGAATTTTTTCTTTATTAAGTGTAATTCATAATTTCTTGTACTACCTGTTTGAAATTACATTTGACACATATTGGATTAAAATATTGATGAAGTTGCAACTGTTATTTTTATTCTGTGAGAATATAAGTGTGATAATGTATTAAGAAATTCTTCTTTTCTGCATATCAGAATATATGTGGAGGTAATTTGCTTTATTGATTTCATCGGTATTAGTCCAACTTTCAGAAAAAGGTCTCTCTCTTCGCCCCTTTTTTTAAATGGCAGTATTGAATACTTTCATTGAATTCAAAGCACCCTTCCACGCAACCAGCATTTAAAATTCTTTAATGTGTGAATTTTCATTTTGTCTCTGTACTAAGATTATCACTTTATTCAATTGCTCTCGCCTTGTACCCATGATGACCCAAGTAAATAATGTAAAATGTATTTTTTTGTGTACATAGTTATCCCTTGTTTCAGTAACATTCACTTCGGTAAAAGATTTTAATAGTGCCTTTTTTAGTTAATGAGGGAGGGAATAAAGAAAATGTGTGTTTTATGAAGAAAGGAGAAAAGTAAAAATAGAATCTAATATTTGTTTTATGCAATAATTGAAAAAATATGATTTTATTTTCTGCCAAAAAAAAAAAAAAAAAGTTCAATTGTAGCAGTCTAGCATATTTTACACCTATTCACATAAGTCAGAACAAATGATAAACCATGACTTTTTATTTTAAGCCAGGTAGGATGAAGTGATGAGATAGATGCAAATAAAAATAAGATACCTTATTTGCCTGAAAATTATCTTCTGTAAACCCTTTATCTTTTATATTTTTAAATTAAAATTTAGGAAGATTCTATGAACAGGTAATTTGCTAAATGAAATTTCAGAAGGAGATGAAAAAGTTTAATTAGCTATAATATAGAATAGTTATAAAGTTAAAATACTAAATAAACCAAATGGGTAATTACTGTATTTATTAAATGCATAGCTACTGAAAATTTTAATAGCCACATTTAGTTGAGAAATTCCAGTTTCGGCCTGAATCCATAATGCTGCTCATTCATTACTTAAAAACAAATAGGTAGCATTCTCTTTGGGCCACATCTATTTGGGCTGTTCAAAGGAATTTTGAACAAAGAGGGAAAAGAAACTTAAGATACTGAAAGAAAATAAGTATTCAGCTAAATTTTTATTTCTGAAAATCTAGATCGGTGCCACCTCCTTGGCACAATGTGGCTTTTTTTTTTTTTTTTTTTTTTTTTTTTTTTTACAGAAAAATGATGTTTTATAATCAGGGCTATGGAGTCGGAATCGGAGTCAGGTAGATTTTGGGGTAAAAGGAGTCGGAGTTGAAGTCGCTAAAAAACATGGTGACTCCGACTCCAGTTTTTGTTGGACAGTTTCAATTTGAAATGAAATTAAAGTGAATTGAAAAAAAAAAAAAAAATGACAAACTGAGTTAATATTTTTATTTATGGAATATATACATTAATAAATAGTTATCATCTATTTTATTGACATATTAATAAATAAATATAACAGAGCAGGATGGATGTAATATTTGCCATTATTGATTAAACTGATTCATTTAGTTACTAATATCATTGGTGAACTAAAAACTCCCAAAATTGATGCCATTCTTAGGAAGCGAGGGTGAAAAGGAGCAATGCAATGGAGAAGTACATATTTGATAATATAATGGTTGTTAGGATTAAGAACTTTGTCAGAAGATGTAAATAACTCTAATAATTCATAATAGAATGATCTTGCAGAACTGGAAATCTTTCTTTCAATACCGTATATAGCTACCATCTGAAAAATTAACTGGAGACGAGAATGTTAGAAGATGTAGATAACCTTAATGTTTCACTAACAGAAAGAGTGTGGAATGATCTTGGAGAATTGGAAACTTTTTCTTTCTATACCATATATATCCACCAAAAAAGCTACAATCTGAAGAATTAACAAGAGGCAAGACTGGAAGAATGTGATGTTTGTTCTTTCTGAAATGGAGGGTTTATTGCAGAAGAAATCGTTTCTTCAATGAAGAAAAGAGAAAATAATTTGCTAGAGAACAAGATCATGCTGGGTTCAATATATGTAGATTCAAAACGCCGAATTTTGTTTTATGACAAACAAATTAAAAAGGCAAAGAAAGCCATCTATTAACTTTCATTAAGAATGAAATTATTCTCAGAATAACTGGAGTATTCTAATCAGGACAGTCAAACTGCAGATATTGCAACTGAGTCTCTATCATGTTCTTCCACTGATGAATTAGATTTTGAGAAATATTTGGATAATATTGAAAAGGCTAAGGCAAAGTTAATGGAAACAAAGAACCAACAGCCTTTAGATATAAAAATGAAAAATACAAACAAGATTTCTACACGGTCTTTGAAGAAATAGAGAAATATGATTGCACTTGCAAGATACCTCTTTTAGAACTTAACAAAAGTCTATCCTGAAAAGTTAAAGGAAGTAGCCATAACTCTTCTTCCTACTCAAGTCAGTGTGGAAAGTTCTCAGTTCTGCAGTTTATCAGATTGGATCTATGGTCCTCTAACAAAGAAGATCTTGCCAAAGTTTTACTGTTTCTTAGAAATTACTAATGCCAGCGTTTCCATTTCATAATAAATGCTAATTAATATAAAAAATTTGCTATGCATCAATTTTTATCTGTAGCATCTACTATTTCTTTTATATTAAAAAAAATAAGCTGTACCCATGTTTACATATATATGAAGGAGTCGAAGTCATTAAAATTCCAGGAGTTGGTTATTTTCCCTACCAACTCCACAGCCCTACTTATAATACATATTATTTATATTTTGATTAGGTATTTATCTGAAAATCAATTAATAAGCTTACTCAGTAAATGTAGAAATGGACTGGTAAGGATAAAGGACTTTTATTGTATTTAAAATTCTAGAAATGAACAAGATTCCTGTCACTGTAAGTACTGTGAACTAATACTGCATATGTTGAGAGAGTGAAAAGAAAACTCTTTGGCCATACTTGATTTCGTTCCAAATACATACATACCTGTGATCAGTAGCAGACAAACAGCTATCGAGCCCCAGTGCAGAAATCTCCTTGGGGCTCCTTTATTGGAATGATCATATATCAGTGTCAACACAGATAAATAATTTGCATTAATTTAAATTGAAAAAATGATTTGGAAAACAAAAAAATATTAAGACTAAAAAAATTTACATGTAGCAGACAAAAGTATATTTAAAAAAGCTTATTAATATGTCGTGTTTGATGATTTTAAAAATTCTTTTTAACTTTTCTTTTAATTAAAAAAAAAAAAAAAAAAAAAAAAAAAAAACCTAAAGTGTTTTTACGAGCTTTGACTTCTCAACATTTTATTATAGTTTCATCAAAATTAATATTTTTAGCTGCTGCTATTTGAATGGAAAGTATTGTCAAACCTTTGAATGCTTATTGTTGATCAAAGATAGCTTTCAATCCAGTGATTCCCAAACTTTTCCGAGTCATGATGTCTTTTTTTCAGATGAAAATTTCCCATGGCCCCGTACCTTAAGTAAAAGTGTGACTAATTGTAAGTAAAAGTAAATTAAACTCGTGTATCTTTTCATTTTGGTACTATTCGGTTTCGAGGGCCGTAAAAAATCGCCAAACTATTGTTGATGCCAATGCTGCCAAAAATAATTGCGGCAACCCTAAAAATTGCGGCAAGAAAGGAAGTATAATAGTAAATAACTATCTAAGATGGATGTTTTAATTTAGATGAAAGGTTAATTTCATATAATACTTTATTATTATTATAATTTATATAAAAATTGCTAAACATAACTGAATGGATGCCTGCATTGCTTTTTCGCTACCGACTTATCGCTAAAGCATAATTTCATCTCGTTGGTTGTTGAAACGTAATTTTCTATAATGAAAGATGCCTTTTCTTTGAAAATATTTTCGGTAAAGTGCAGAATCGCTCACTTATTTGTTTGCCGCTTTTTACAAGGGTAAAACAATTGGATTTTTTTCAATTTTCTTTTATTTTTTAAGTGAAAATAGGTCGATGTGTACATAGATAAAGTCAAGGGTGTGCGCAGTGCCATTTTTGTCAATTCTGGGATTTTTTTTTTAAGTGAAAATAAGTCGATGTGCACATGGATACCGAGTATGTGCAATTCTAAGAAACGGGTCAAGCAGTGGGTGATTCTGCACTTTACCCAAAATTCTATTGCCGACTTTTCGTCATGGGCAATTACCAAATTGTTAAATCCATAGGATATCAAAAAAGGATTTAAAAATTAAACTAGTATTTCAATGTCGTCTTAAGAAATATAGAACTATACAAACTTACGCAATCTGAAATCAACGCGTACGCTAGATTTGGCGCGCTGTTAAATGGACGCGTTTGCTAGATTTGGCGCTTTTGAGCATACATTTTCGCTGCAATTTTTTTACGGCCCTCAAAACGGAATAGTACCTTCATTTTTAATACTTTTTTTGGCTTTATTAACATTAAATAAATAATTAATGTGATGTATGAGTTTGCAGATTGCAACATATTTTTTCAAATCATGGAATTAAACTGCACATGGCCACCCTCATTTCCTTTTTTATGTTAATTTTTGCTCTATACTTGCTTTTTACTATATCGACCATCAAAAATTCAGCTTCAGTGTCTAAAATGGAATTAAAACAGCCTTGTCATTTAGAAGGGGATATTCATCTTTTATTGAAATCCAAAATTTTTTCAATGCTATGCTGCCAGATTTTACTTTCAAACTGCTGTCACAAGAAGATAACTTGATAAGATTCTCTTCTTCTGCAGAAATAAATACAGTAGGAGCACTATTATTAAACAGATCCATGGAAACCTGTTGAATTTTTCATTTTGAAAGCATTTCTCAAACCAGATAATTAGCTGTGATAAGCGCCTTTCAAACATGGTTTTTATATCCTGAGAAAGATCCAAGCTCATTTGACATCAAAAATTGCTGCAATATTAAAAAACAATCTTTAAAAAATCAACATCAACAAAATCTTCTGCATCTTTGTATCCCTCGCCTTTAAGGAAAATAAAAATGCAGTTATAGAGTTTTAACTAAAACACTAATAAATTTTAATTTGTATTTTATACATTTCCATGAAATAAAAAACAAATACCTTTGTTTACAATGGCCATTGCGAAAGAAATATCACCAAGCACAAAATGTATAATGGGGGGGGGGAACAAGCAAAAACATTAGAAAATAATAATAATAATAAATTATTGAAGAAAGCTATTAAAATTACCCATTCATGCATGCAGTTAAACTTATTTCACCATTTACATATTATTATTAAAATTACCCATACATGCATACAGTTAGATTTATTTCACCATTTACATATTATTACAACTACCTTAATAAAAGACTCCAAATTTTCAGGATGTGCAAAACTCTGGCAACCAAGTTCATCCTACAGTCAAGCAATGTTGCCATTTTCATATGCGTTCTTTTGTTATATTCCAAATTCCAATGATTATAGGTAAATCTTGATATTTTTCCTTAAGCTCAGTTTTAAAACATGCTTGTGGAATTTGCCACAAAGTAACTAAAAGGAACAATGATAAGTTGTATTTGGTACATTGGTGTGTACAATGCCTAAGTTATACAAAATGCCAAATTTGTACGAGTGTCAGATTTAAAAAAAAAAAAAATGAAAATAGATTGCTAGTTACATGGGGGGGGGGGAATAAACCATAAAGAAATTACAGAAGGATTTTGTAAAAAAAATGTAAGTGTATATTTTTAATGCATTATATAATCCTTATTTAAAAGTTTTATTTTAAATTGCTAAAGTATGTTTTTTGATATATTGATGATGTTTGACAGCTTATAATAAATATCAACAGTTTGGTGATGTTTTTAAGAAAAGTAATGAAAATCTGTAACTTCAACTAGATAAATGACTTCCTCTTCATCTGTTAAAAAATTGTCTAATTGTACCAAGATGGCTTGCGACAATACATAAGTGCTCTTATTTCTTTTGTATATTTTCTGTTGGTTATGTATAGGCAGTTGCTTTTAATGTGACTTCAAAAGTGTTTTTCCATTTCTTTGTATTGATACCACATAAATTTGGATATGATTTAAGGTTATGCTAAGATGCAACTTGTTGTTTTTCATTCCACTACTTTATATACCCTCATAATCTTTTTATATTTTGAGTTATGAAATGTAAATTTTCACATTAAAAAAAAAGAAGAAAAAAAAAAAAGGAATTTATCTTTATAGTTTTATATTTGAACAAAAAAAGCATTTATAAGTTTCATGGGAAATTTCATGTAAAATCTGCTGAGTTTTGTATTGAATGAAGAAATTCTCTGCTTCTACAGGTTTGCCTTGATTGCCTGTTCATTTTTAAGATTGCCTCAGTAACTTTTTTAAATACTTTCTCTCATACAACTATTCCATTAAATAGTTAGTATTTCTTGCATTCTCTTTGCACCTTTTAATGGATGTTATTCTTTTCAAGAGTGGAGAAGTGCAACATTATTATCCAGAAATCACAGAAAGAGTATCCAGCACAAGTGTCTGTCTGTCTTCTTCCTGCAGCTTTTGATATTGCATTTTCAAGTGCTTTCATTATTAATATGTAAATGGTTTTATTTTCACATTTTCTATTACAAAAATTCCTTTTCTTTCTTGAAAAAATCTCACTGTCTTTTTCTCAATTCTTGACGAATAAAAATTAACAATATATTTTATTTTTGAAAGAATAAAAATAATTTTTAATTCAGCTGCAATTTGTAAAATATCTTTTCTGAAAGAAAAGGTTGTCTGCACAAAGTAGATTAAGTAGCATGCTGAACTTACACAGAGGTGGTGATTTTCTTTCACAAAAGCTGCTTAGGACTAAACACATACTAGATAGAATTTGGGCCATCATATATAAAAACATAATATGCATCACACACCTAATATTGTGCTTACTGTTTTGGAAAGATTAGACTGTAATATCTTTTGAAAAACATAAAAAGTGTTTGCCGTGCGAGTTCAGTTGCAAGGAGTCCTTTCTTTCCACTAATATAATATTGATGTAGACAAAATATAACATTTTACAGTGTTTGTTTTCTAAATTATATCACCTAAAAATTCAGTTATTCTTATATATCATATTTATTTATGTTTTTTTCATGTAGTGAATTTAAACGAATCTCTGAATTTAACTTAATTCAATGTGCATGTCTTTTTATTCCTTTGTGGTTTCCTTTAAGTGGGAATTATATTTCACTATGCAGTTTTGAAATTTCTAAATTTTTTCAGTGTGTTGAAAGTTTGATAAATGTGCAAAACAGACTTCAGTCAGCTGTTACTGGACGGGATAAAATCACGATGCTGTTTTCAAAATGTAAGTATTTTCTATGAAATTCTTTTTTAAAATTCAAATGTTATTTCAGTGAAACTTATCATCCAGAGTACTTTTCAAATTGCATGAAATATTTTATGTTATTGTCTATTTGTATTCTTATCATTTTAAATTCATTCAGAATTGGTCATTTATTGTTTAGTTGATTATGAAATGAGGACTTATCACAAAATAGAACCTATTTTGAAAATTCAAATGCAGATTTTTAGAAAATATTTGTACTTTTATATGAGAAATACTGATATGAGGACAATAATTGAGAAATACTGATATGTGGACAATAATGACATTTTATTTGCTTATTCTGTATAGTTATCTTTCATTTGTTCATTCTTAATATAATCTAATCATAGAATACTCTTTTAAATTGAGAATAAATATATTCATAGAATATTCTTTTAAATTGAGAATAAATATATTCATAGAATATTCTTTTAAATTGAGAATAAATGTATTCATAGAATATTCTTTTAAATTGAGAATAAATATATGCAATCTAATGTATAGTGACTATTGAAAAATGGCATAAATACATGAAATTTGTTTTATGATTAGAGTATTTAATAATTTTTAATCATGGTAAAATATTTCCTAAAATTGATAGGTAAGTTTATATTTTAGGGTGCCCCTTGGATTATTGCCAAGTTGTTTCATTTATGGTAACCTGAGTAGTTGAATGTTATGGAAACGCTATTATGACGTGATTGGTTGCGTGATGGTGGTGAATTTGACTGATGGGAAAATATTTGTAAGGACTTTTTTCTGTGTTGGATGTCAGTTAAGAAGTACATTGCTTATTTTGTGCTGTATACCGTAAAATGGCTGTATGTGATGAGGTTAATATGAAGTTTCTGTACGATTTGAAATGAAATGGGGGAAAAAAAAATTAATTGACTGGTGTGTAAATGAAGGTTTACACAGTAGTCATTATAAGTGTCCTGTTTGTACAAAGGAAATGTGTATGGTCGAACATAAAGATCATTAAGACGGCTTTGAATGGGTTTGTCTCAAGAAAGGTTCATGCAAGAAATGCCGCTAACAGTCCGCCACTATGGAGATATTTTTGTTAATTTATATGGTAATGGCCATAAAGCATATTCTAGTTGAGATAATTTTAGAAAGTTTTTGGATGCTGTTAAGCAATTTTGTGTGCCGCAGGCTGAAGAGACGGAAATTTCTAAATATGGCAAGTCGATATTTCCTTTTTGTAGTGCATATATGCGATAACATGCATTTCCTTTTTTATGTTATTTCATTGTATGATTTAAAATGCAGTTTATTGAACTTCGATTGGCTACAAATTTTGTTTAATTTTGGTGATGAGTAACTTTAACATTATATGACGTCATCTGTAGCATCTGATTTCGAGAGTATCAGTACTCTTATACCCGAGAACCTCTGTGAACGAGAGTAGAGTAGAATGTAATGTAACTGTGTAAATAGCACATCGCTGCTGTCTTATTAGTTAGTTAGAAATAAATTTTTGTGCCGTGAACTAGTCTGTTTTGGTTGTGTCATGCATTTCACTGAACCCACACTGCTAGACACAACAAGTTGGTGACGAGGATGGGATGAGAAGCAAATCGTTCCGGACTCGGCACACTGGTTTACATGCGTAAAAGTAGTAGCAAACCGAAACTTGGATTTAGGGGATTCCCCGAAAACTGCAAAAGGTAGGAAAGTTATTTGATTTTTGTTTTGAAAGGGTGGAGAAGTTAATTGAAGAATTGATAAAGTAGAATGAAGCTTTAATGGTCGCATTGCAAGAGAAATCGGAACATAAACAAGACAAAATTTCTGTTTCTTTTGATAAGTTCGATGAAACGGTAGAAAATTTTGATTCGTTCATAGAACGATTTGAGGCTTTTTTGGACATTCAAAATGTTCCAGAGGCAAAACGTGGGAAAGTTCTGATCTCAAGCTTGAATGCGAAATTGTATAATTTGTTGAAAAATTTACTCTCTCCGGATAATCCTTCAGATAAAAATTTTACCGAACTAAAAAAGGTTCTTAAGGATCATTTAAATCCTAAAGCTTTAATAATACCTAGTCGGCACATGTTTATTAATAGAAAACAGCATGAGGGGGAATCAATTAGTAGTTATGTCACTGAATTACGCTCGTTAGCGATTCCTTGTGAATATAAAGAGGATATGCTAAATACAATGTTAAGGGATGTTTTCGTTAGCGGTCTACGAGATCGTAATATCTTAGATCGATTATTTCAGGAAGATGATATCGATTTAGAGAAAACATTAAAGATAGCCTTGGCGATGGAAAAGGCGGTTAAGGGTGCAAATGAGATTATAGGAAATTCCGTAGAACTGAAGGTACTTAAAACCAAGAAAAATGAGTCCAAACCGCGGAAACAAAACTTTGTTGCTAAGAATAATAAAGGTAAAAATGAAACTTGTTCGCGTTGCTTAGGAGCAAATCACAATAAAAACAACTGTAGATTTGCAACAAGTGAATGCCGCTTTTGTAAAAAAATTGGACATATCGAAAAGGCGTGTTATTTGTCTAGGAAAAACTGCCAGGTTAAACAAAAGAAAGTTGAGGCAAATAATGATTATGATTCGAAAAATGAGATCCCCATCTATGAGGACACCCATAGATGACATTATATATTTAACACCAGAACGCACATGTTAAGAAAGGAAGAGCCAAAAAGACCGCAATAATTGTTAAAGTTAAAATTGAAAACAAACCAGTTAGCATGGAACTTGATACTGGGGGAACAGTTTCGGTAATGTCTATAAATAAATTTAGAAAAATTTCCAATAAAAAGATTCAGCCTACAAATTTAGTTTTTAAAACTTACAGGGGTGATAAGGTGGTACCTTTAGGATATGTTCCTGTTAAAGTTGAATACCAAGGTCAAAAATTAGTTTTAAATTTATACATTGTGAAGGAAAATTTGGACACAATCTTCGGCCGAGAATGGCTGTATAAAATCAATCTCGATTGGAATGCCATCAAAACATTGAAAACTTCTAGTGAATTGAATTTAAAAAAAATTGCTTGAGGAGTATAAGGAAATTTTTGACGGTAAATTAGGTGAAATTAACAATCACGAAGTAAAACTAAATTTGAAACCTAATACTCAACCAATATTTTGTAGGTCACGACCGGTACCTTTCGCATTAAAAAATAGAGTTGAATCAGAAATTGATCGGCTTGAGAAAGAAGGTATCATTGAGAGGGTTGAGACTTCAGAATGGGCAACACCAGTTGTGCCAATTGTTAAATCTGATGGTTCCATTAGGCTTTGTGCTGATTATTCTGTGACTCTGAATCCTAATTTGGAAGTGCCACAGCATCCATTACCAAAACTCGAAGAAATATTTTCATGCCTTAATGGAGGAAAAATTTTTTCGAAACTTGATTTCAGTCATGCTTATCTACAAATGAAGGTGCATCCGGAGAGCCAACGGTTATTAACAATAAACACGCATGAGGGGTTGTATATTTGTAAACGCTTAATGTATGGATTAAATGCTGCCCCAGCTATTTGGCAGCGCTATGTTGAGGGATTATTTCAGGGGATCGAAGGAATTAAAATTTTTATGGATGATGATGCTCGAGTGACAGGACCGGATGATCAGTCTCATTTAAAAGCATTGGAAATATTTTTCAAAAAATGCAAGGAGCACGGCCTAAAATTAAACTTAACTAAAAGTAATTTTTTTTCAAAATGAGATTAAATTTTTAGGGCATAAAATTGATGCCGATGGATTGCATAAAACGGATGAAAAGATTTCGGCAATTGCTAATGCCCCTACGCCGAAAGGCGTCCAAGACATCAAAAGCTTTTTGGGATTAGTGAATTTTTATGCCAAATTTTGCCCTAATCTGGCAACTTTGGCACATCCATTAAATAATTTAACAAAAAAAGATGTTAAATGGAGTTGGTCAAAAAACTGCCAAATCACTTTTAACAGAAATACGCCCAAATCGATAAAGAAGCACTGTCAATTGTTTGGGCTGTCAAAAAGTTTTATCTGTATCTAAAGGGAAGACGCTTTTCTCTGGTGACAGATCATAAACCTTTAGTGGCTATCGAAAAGAGGACTTCCTATCCTCACAGCCACTCGACTCTTACATTATGCACTGATATTGCAAGCATATCAATTTGATATTGTGTATCGAAATACCAAGGAACACGGTAATGCTGACTGCCTGTCGCGCCTGCCTCTTAAGTCCGAAGATTTAAGCATTAAGGATGATGTTGAAATATTCCAACTCTCCCAAATTGAAACTCTTCCGGTAACAGCTAGGGAGATAGCTCGGGAAACGCGAGCTGATGAAGAATTAAATAGTCTTTATATGAAATTAAAATCTGGAGAAAGTTTGGAAGGTAGGGAAGCCGAGTACACCTTACAAGATGACTGTATAATGAGTGGTCAGAGGGTAGTTGTTCCGAAAAAACTCCGAGTTAAAATTCTCGAAGAGTTACACCAAGGACATTTAGGAATCGTTAAAATGAAGGCAATCGCCAGATCCTACGTCTTTTGGAAGGGAATTGATCATGATATTGAAGAAGTTTCTAGGAACTGTGTCGATTGTATTAAGTTCAAATCAGATCCAGTAAGGGCAAGGGTCCATCACTGGGAATATCCAAGTGCGCCTTGGGAACGCATTCACGTAGATTTTGCAGGCCCTATTTTTGAACGAATGTTCTTGATTATCATTGACGCACATTCTAAATGGCTAGAAGTGTATACCTTAAAGTCAGCAAATTCCTTTCAGACAATTGAATGTTTGAGAGACTGTTTTGCAAGATACGGACTGCCTTTAGTAGTAGTGAGTGACAATGGTCCTCAGTTCACATCGGGGGAATTTGAAACTTTTATAAGGAATAATGGAATTAAACACAAAACGTGTGTGCTCCATTTAAACCGGCAAGTAACGGGCAAGCAGCGGTACGTTTACACCGTTAAACAAGCATTACGTGCAATGCAAGGTTATCCAGGAAATATTAA